CCTTTTTGTTTGCTTTGTAATCCAACATATTACAAACAAATTACTGCAAAATACAAAAACAAACAAAAATAACACAAATTAGCTTAGCTCAGCTTAGCTAACATGCTGTCATGGCTAGCACGCTCATGTTGTTAGCAAACCCAGGACAGCTGTTTCCAGCATGCATGCTAACTGGATGTAGCTTCATATTTAGTGCACAGATACTGGAACGCTTTTCCTTTTCCTGTTTAACGCCCACTACAAAAATCAAAAAAGCGAAGGTGACCTTTGTTCTCCTCTCTCCTCAGTGCCGTACCAGGAGCCCAGGCTGGACGTTAATACAGAGGCTATGTCTGCAGTGTGCAGTCTGCAAGGAGGATTTCCTGCCCCTGACATACAGTGGGTCCTCCTCCATAACAGCTCCCATCAGGCAGTGGAGTCCAGGAACGTCAACACTGAAACGAAGCAGAACGTCCACGATCACCTGTACAGCTCCCGCAGCATCCTGCACATCCTTGCAGGTCGTCACGAGGCCGTGAGCTGTCTCAGCCACAACCCCACCCTGAACAGGACTGTCAAGGTCACCCACAACTTCAACACAGGTACGCTCCACATCGTCCAGTCAGCCGAGGGAAGGTAAACTACAACAGCGCGAAGGGGAGCGCTCTAATAATGATGAAAGTGACACCAACTGACAGTCAAAGAGTCGGTTAGTGGATATACGTCACTTATAATGAAGTGTTTTTAAAATATATGTGAGACATATTTTTAAGATGTGAATCTCAGGTGATGGAACCAAAAATGCCTGAAGATAAAAAAGTTTCTCTGAGCGTGTCATCATCTTATTACTGTTATTACTACTACTGATTTATATTTATAATAATTTATGGTTATTATTCTAGCGCTGACGAGTGTACGAATTATGAGAGCTGACAGGAAATATGCTGAGTAACCTCAGACCATCACTATTTTAGTTTGTGCAAACAGGACATGAGGAGCTCATTCACAGCAAACTGATAATCACAGGGTGCAAAGACTACAGCGATGTGCAGCCGTCAGGCAGTCAGACCTGAACACGCTGAGTAATCGTGGAAGGTTCAGAGCTCTCGAGCTGCTGTTCAGCTGAGAGGAAAATACATCCTCAGACGTCTGCAGAGAAACATCTGTGCTGGTTTATCATGCATGCAGGTCGTCCTGTGTCCCTGCAGGCCTCCCTACATAACCTGCTCCGTGTTCCATTCTTACAGAACTAAAAACAGCTAAAATACTCAAATTTCAATTACAGAACCATAAACGAGTCCCTCAGTAGTCAGTCAAGCTTTGCAGGACCAGTGTCGCTTTTGCCATTTGATTACGTTCTTTTTGTATCTGTATCGATCATTCATGTCTTATTTCAGACTGACGTAGGCGACACAACCATGAAACATGTTTCTGCAGAAGAAGTTTCAAAGTCAAAGTTCAACCTGAGTCAGAGTTCACTTTACACTGAGCATCCCTCTGACTCAGAGACATTTACTCAGCCCTGTAACTCTGGCTGATCGTCGGGGGAACTCAGAAACTTGCCCTAGGATGCTCTGGTATGAGGCTGACTGTTGGTGTCTCGGTGTTCAGCAGGTGCAGCAGCGAGGAGCTCACCTGCAGCCCTAACTGTATATCTGATAGCAGCTGCTGTGGTTCTTCTAACAGCTGTGCAGTGAGCAAAGGTGAGCATGAACTATTTACTTTTTACTATCTAACATGTGAAAGAGGTGGAGCATGTTAAACGCAGACACGTACACAGATGTGTGGTTTTCCCATGATGCATGTGTACCATGAACATGAAGGAAACAGCTGATGTGCTTACAGCTGCAATCATCTGTGTGTTTCAGCCACCCGAGGTAGAGCGATGCAGCGTTTCGGTGGTGGAGGGGTGAAACCGTGTGCCATGGAGACACTTCAGCGTGTTGTATGTTGCACCTTATCTGTGCGTGATATTGACGGTGCGCACACTCTGAATCTGGGTTTCATGGGTCCTGCTGGGTGGCACTAACTTGGTGCTTAAAACAAAACTTGAAGCTATATCTGCTCAGGCTGGAGCATTAAACCCACCACAGTGTGAAACAACAGTCACTGGACCATCAAACGTCATGCTGGGCGCCTGTTTAACTGAATGTTATGTCCATGTGCTGTTATGTCTTTAGAAGTGTTATTTAAAATAAATCAAAGAGTTATTTAGATGAAAATGAGGCTGTGTGTGTCAATCTGGCACATCTACATGTTGTGGTGAAGTGTTCGTCTTAATGTGTCTTTTTAAATAAAACACATAAAAGTAAAGACGGGTTCAACTGAAAAATGCTAAAAAAATATTCCTGCTGCAGCTGCTGAGCTCATTTCAAACAGTTTGAACTTTAAATTTTTTATATCTCAAATATAATCTGATATAATCACACACACACACATCTGTGTGTATTATTAGCCTAAATCAGATGAAATGTGTGCAGCATGAGGGACAAATATTCTGGAAACATGACTTCCTGTGTCGACCACCAGGCCCGTGTTAAACACAGGTTACAGCGTTACGTGAAAAAACTGTATAATACAGCGAGAGACACAAGCAAGCACAGCGAACCAACCAAACAATTAATCCTCCTGACAACTTTGCTGGCTTTGCTGCCAGGGGGAGCTACTATATCTGTTAAGGAAGAGTTTACCGCAACTCTGGGCAGCGGAGACGGCCAGAGAGGCTCCCAGGAGCATCTCAGCAGGGCCAAGTTTATTTAGCCCCGTGTTTGGACTTGTCACTGTTGGCCATAACACAATCAAAGGTTACTTATTGATCCTAATCACTACATTTCAGACAGTACTGATCACACATGCTCATACAACAAGTGTCACTGTTGGGTCTGTGCTTCCACAGGCTTCGCTGGTTTAGAAACTTCTTCCTGTTAACGAAGCAAGACGAACAGCAACCGATCGGTTTTACTTGCTATAGCAAAGGGAGCCGGATGGCAGCAGTCCTCTGCCCTGGTGTCAAACGAGTCCAAAGAATCAGCTTCCCCTCACACAGTTTACACAAACACCCATTGTAAAAAACCCTATGGTGTCAGGCACTAGGTGTGTGTGTGTGTGTGTGTGTGTGTGTGTGTGTGTGTGTGTATTCATATGCACGTGAGTGTGTGTGTGTTTGGGGTGTGTTTGTGTGACCTGCTCACCAAAAGGGTCATAAAGGCAGGAAGTTTGCTAAACAAGAAAACAGAACCCTCACATAGGATGTGCCTGTAATAAAACACTGCAGCCTCCCCCACGTTCAACAGGCTGGGGAGGGGTCAGAAACAAAGGAATGTCTTTGATCCTACAGTTTGAACCAAGACTTACACATTTAAGTAACACAATGACAACATTTAACAATTTCAACCTAACAGTCACAAACTTCATTAATATAATTGTGGATCATATTTGACCTAAATGTTTGGGTCTTGTGATTTCAAGCATGCAGGTTCCATTATAAACATTCCAGTGCAGGTGTATATATAGTATATACAAGTACACATCCCCATATGTATATATAGTATGTATGTGCGTATAGGTCCAGTGTAAATAAAAACCAGTTCATCTGCTTCTGCTCCCAGCTCTAACATGTACATAACAAATACAGTACATATAGTTACAGTTATAGAAGTTACAGCACATATAAACATACCTGTTTATTTCATAATCAGATGAAAGCAGGGACCTCACAGCACAAGCATTACTCACAGCCTGTTGTAAGATCGTGGTGTACATTGTTATTAGGGGTGCAACGATACACAAAATTCACGGTTCGGTTCGGTACTTTGGTGTCACGGTTCGATATTTTTTCGATACAAAAAATGTTCATGCCTTTTTAATTTGTCATTTATTA